CAGTGAAACCAAGCCTGCACGAGTAATTGGAAAGCTCTCTTTTATCGATCTGGCAGGAAGTGAACGCGGTGCTGATACTACTGATAATGATAAGCAGACAAGGTTTGTATAACTACTAAATATTTTCTAATTATCCAGTGCAACTTAGCATCCTAGTATGCCCCCATAAAATAAATAATCGAAAACTGTTCTCTTGATAAAATGGAACCTCACCGTTCATTTATTATTTTGGCATGATAATGCTTCATCATATGCGACTGATGAACTGTATGCTCATCTCATTGTTCATGAATGATTTTTTTGTTCATTCTCTCTTTTTAAAATGGTATTCCACAGGATTGAAGGAGCTGAAATAAATAAAAGCTTGCTTGCATTGAAGGAATGCATTAGAGCTCTTGACAATGATCAAGGCCATATACCTTTTAGAGGCAGTAAACTAACTGAGGTCCTTAGGGATTCATTTGTAGGAAACAGTCGAACTGTAATGATATCCTGCGTCTCCCCAAATGCTGGGTCCTGCGAACATACCCTAAACACATTGAGATATGCCGATCGGTAACCTCCATCTCAACATAATATTAGTGACTATCATTTTTCACTATTTTTATTTAAAATAAATTTCTGCAATTGCACAGGGTGAAGAGCCTTTCGAAAGGAGGGTATAACTCCAAGAAAGATGCTCTGTCTTCTTCGCTTAATCTGAGGGAGTCCACAACAATGCCCTTGTCTGCAATCGTACCTTCCGTATCAGCATATGAAGATGACACAGGGCCCGAGGATGAGGAAATCTATGAAAGAGAGATACCACTGCCAAAATATGATGTGCTCACTACTACCATATCAGATGAAAAAACTCGTAAAAGTAATCACCAGGCAAAGTTTAAAGAGCCCAAGCATTTGGCTTCTGAAAACGAGCTTAACGATCTCTTAAAGGTGACTCTTTAATGTAGCCTTCGAAAAGAATAAACATCAATTGATGTTACGGTCACCATTTAGGGGAAAAAAATACTAAAGTGTCTTTCTTTTGCTCACATTTAACTTACCAATCCTATAGAATGAGGGTAAAACAATAATTTCAACGCCTTCTAGTTGTCATCTAAGCTTAACGATCTCTTAAAGGTGACTCTTTAATGTAGCCTTCGAAAAGAATAAACATCAAGTGATGTTACGGTCACCATTTAGGGGAAAAAAATTCTAAAGTGTCTTTCTTTTGCTCACATTTAACTTACCAATCCTATAGAATGAGGGTAAAACAATAATTTCAACGCCTTCTAGTTGTCATCTAAACTTAGCTGCATCCATATGAAATAAAAAGTCTCTTGGCTATCAATCAATAATAGAATCTTTTGCTCAGTTGATTCTCTTTGGCCTTATACAAATATCTTTTCAGGAAGAGGAAGAACTTGTAAATGCGCACCGAGGACTGGTGGAAGAAACAATGGATCTTGTGAAAGAGGTAACCAATCTCATCAATCATCATATGTTTTTAGCCGTATTACTCTTATCATACATGGAAGGTTAATAAGTTTTCATTGTGCCCCCCCATCCCCACTCCACCCGTTTCACAGGAAATGAATCTCTTGGTTGAGGCAGACCAACCGGGGAATCAGCTAGACCACTATGTGTCCCAACTGAATGCCATCCTTTCCCAAAAGGCTGCTGGCATCCTTCGGTTGCAAAACCGTTTGTCTCATTTTCAAAGGCGTTTGAAGGAACACAATGTCCTCGTGTCTTCGCTGCACTAGTAGGAGTGAAGAAATGATGTGGTGTAAACTGGAATTCTCGACCAACAGTATGTGGCTTGCT